TTTTTGTCTTTTTATCTTAAATTTTTGAATTTTTATATTATAATTTTAATAATTTTTTATTTTTACTATTTATTAATTCTTTTCTTTTTTAATGTTTTATAATATTATTTAAATTTTATAATTTTAATTTCTATAATTTTATCTTACTTTTTATTTTATAAATATAATTTAAATTATTCATTTTATAATTAAATTAATATTTTTAGATCTTTTTATGAGTTTATATAAAAGAATATATTGAAACCTGTCAATCTTTGAGGGTACCGTAGCAATTCCCGCTAGCCTTATAATAATGATGTGCATAGTAATAAGAAAAACTTTATCTCTTCACCTTGTTTTTCTTATAAGACGTGTTTGTTTATTTAATCGAAACAATTATCCGAGTCTTAATATATCCCTTGACTTAAGAATTATTATTTTCATTAAATTAAGAATAAATGAATTACCTTTCTTCTTCTTGCTTACCAGTTACCACATTTTTATCTTTAATTAACATTTTATTTCATTTCATTTCTAAAATCATATTAAATCTTTCATAAATCAAATATACTTTTTCAGTAAATGTAGTAATTAAGTAAAATGTTTATTTATTAAACATTTTCCATAAAATAAAATTCATTTGACATGCTATTAAAAAAATTATGCCATTAATTACAATTTTAGAAATTTATTTTGTATAAAATATTCAATTTACTTTATATTCTTACTTTTATAAATTGTTTAAAAAACATCATATTATGTTTCATAAATCAAATATATATACTTTTTAATTAATTGTAGTAATTAAATACAACGTCTATTTATTAGAGATGTCCTGTCAATTTTTTTATTAGTCATGCTATTAAAAAAATTATTCCATTACAACTGTAGTACTTTTTTTTGTATAAATTAAAATAAAACATTCAAGTTTACTTTATTTTCTTACTATTTTGTTACTTTTATAAGAAATACAAGGAAAATAACTCAAATGACAACTCAAAAGAAAATAAATAAATAAAAGTGTATGGAGAGTAAAATAAAACTAAAAGGTTGGAAATGTAAATAGATACATTGAGATGTCAATAGTCTGACTCCAATTAAACCTTCATATATATAAATTTGCTTCATGCATATTGTGAATGATGATAGTTTTATTCATTTTCAGAACTAATTAATAAAAGCAAATGCACATAGTGAAAAGAACTTACCACCAACCTTGTTATTCTTAGGCCTTTATTTCACCAAGGAAGGGGCTAAACAATAACCATGGTGATTTTATGAAGTGGATACAAAAGGGTTTTGATCACCTCTTTAGCCTCACAACTTTAGGTTTAATCACAGCAGGGAGAGACTCCATGCAATTGCCAGCCAAAGGAGATTCAATAGTAAGCATGCTAGTAGTTGTCATATTGGTGCTTGGAAGTGTGGTGTTGTTTTGCTTCTCTTCTACCTCATTGCTCAAATAGGTATTCCAATAGTTCTCTATTTCGTCTGCACTGCGTCCTGGTAATCTTCCAGCTATCATGGACCATCTTTACCACGTATAGTTAATCAATCAATCAATGGACCACCAAATTAAAAATGTCAAAAAACTAAACATAACTTTACTTTAAACTTTTATAATATATTTCTTTGTATAATTATTATTTTTATATTGAGATAACATAATTAATTGTTTGTTTTTTTTTAAATATAAAAAGAATAGAAGTATTTAAATTGAATATAGAGTAATAAGAAAAACTTTATCTCTTCACCTTGTTTTTCTTATAAGACGTGTTTGTTTATTTAATCGAAACAATTATCCGAGTCTTAATATATCCCTTGACTTAAGAATTATTATTTTCATTAAATTAAGAATAAATGAATTACCTTTCTTCTTCTTGCTTACCAGTTACCACATTTTTATCTTTAATTAACATTTTATTTCATTTCATTTCTAAAATCATATTAAATCTTTCATAAATCAAATATACTTTTTCAGTAAATGTAGTAATTAAGTAAAATGTTTATTTATTAAACATTTTCCATAAAATAAAATTCATTTGACATGCTATTAAAAAAATTATGCCATTAATTACAATTTTAGAAATTTATTTTGTATAAAATATTCAATTTACTTTATATTCTTACTTTTATAAATTGTTTAAAAAACATCATATTATGTTTCATAAATCAAATATATATACTTTTTAATTAATTGTAGTAATTAAATACAACGTCTATTTATTAGAGATGTCCTGTCAATTTTTTTATTAGTCATGCTATTAAAAAAATTATTCCATTACAACTGTAGTACTTTTTTTTGTATAAATTAAAATAAAACATTCAAGTTTACTTTATTTTCTTACTATTTTGTTACTTTTATAAGAAATACAAGGAAAATAACTCAAATGACAACTCAAAAGAAAATAAATAAATAAAAGTGTATGGAGAGTAAAATAAAACTAAAAGGTTGGAAATGTAAATAGATACATTGAGATGTCAATAGTCTGACTCCAATTAAACCTTCATATATATAAATTTGCTTCATGCATATTGTGAATGATGATAGTTTTATTCATTTTCAGAACTAATTAATAAAAGCAAATGCACATAGTGAAAAGAACTTACCACCAACCTTGTTATTCTTAGGCCTTTATTTCACCAAGGAAGGGGCTAAACAATAACCATGGTGATTTTATGAAGTGGATACAAAAGGGTTTTGATCACCTCTTTAGCCTCACAACTTTAGGTTTAATCACAGCAGGGAGAGACTCCATGCAATTGCCAGCCAAAGGAGATTCAATAGTAAGCATGCTAGTAGTTGTCATATTGGTGCTTGGAAGTGTGGTGTTGTTTTGCTTCTCTTCTACCTCATTGCTCAAATAGGTATTCCAATAGTTCTCTATTTCGTCTGCACTGCGTCCTGGTAATCTTCCAGCTATCATGGACCATCTTTACCACGTATAGTTAATCAATCAATCAATGGACCACCAAATTAAAAATGTCAAAAAACTAAACATAACTTTACTTTAAACTTTTATAATATATTTCTTTGTATAATTATTATTTTTATATTGAGATAACATAATTAATTGTTTGTTTTTTTTTAAATATAAAAAGAATAGAAGTATTTAAATTGAATATAGTCATATATATATATATATATATATATATATATTATTTTTTGTCTCTAAATATAAGATCGTCTCAACTAAATTACATCTCTTAATAAAATTAGTTAATTTAGTTAAAAATATTAAAATTTTCAATAATTTAAACAAAATGTTTATGAAATTTTTATAAGAATTCAAGCATTTTTAAAATTTAAACTTATATATCTCTTTTCACTTAATTATTTTTCACCTAATTAATTAATTAATATTTGTAATTTTAAAATGTGAAATAATAAATGTATTTAATTATTTTATAACTATATTATAAATAAAATTTTATTACATTTATACTATTTTATAAATAATATTTTGAATATTTTCAATAGATTAATAAAACATTATTGGAAGTTGAAGTGACAAAATGTTTTGTGTTTCGCCCTCCTTGTTCAATCATGTTTTATCCTACCTTATTCAATTTTACTTAGTAAAAAGTTAATTAACCCACTTTTTTTAATAATTACAAAAAACATATATATATATATATATATATTAAAAATTAATTCAGTAACAATTAATTTAGTCACAACAAATAAAATACAAAAGTTCAAGTACTATAAAATAAAATTTTAAAATTATTACGTGGACATGTAAGATACTTTTAAGCTATCCAGCTTAAAAGAAAAAAGATTGATGAGAAATAATTATAAATTTAAAATTTTAGCTTAAAAAAGAACAATTTATTTTTCATAAGTTTTTTTTTACAGATTTAATATTTCTCAAACATGTAAAACTTTAACATGTGAAAAATTTAGATAATATAAAATCAATCACCATTATTTTTATTTATTGAATATATAAAATTCATCTGACTTTGACAATAACTGCAATTGAAATAATTATACAATAATAAGATTATTTAAAATAATAATGTTATAATAATTTTATATAATAAATTATTATAACAACAATAAAAATTTGTAAGATGCTAAACATAATAATAAATTAATTAACATTAGAATAGTATTAAATATCAAATTATCCAGAATAGAAAATAAATATCTTAATATTAAAATATATGGGTATAAATGTATGTTTTTCTTCTAAATCTTTTAAACTTTTGTATCACATTTGGATTAAAACCCTTATTTGGTCTCTTATAATATTTTTTTGTTTCAATTTAGTCCTATTTTAATTTTTGTTTTTAATTTGGTCCCCAATAATTTAAATTATTGTAATTTGGGACTTCCGTCCAAATGATTTAAACGAAGTTAATTGATGGCCACGTGGATGCCACGTGGATGTCACGTAGATGCACAAGTGGATGCCAAATTTCATGAATACACGTGGAACCAGAACGGTCCGTTCTGCTTGCACATGTTATGTGTTAATTTTGCAATTGGAACGGGCCGTTCCAAATGCAAATTTAACACAACATGAGTGCATCAAAACGGGTCGTTCTGAAACCAGAACAGGCCGTTCTGCTTTTAGAACGGGTCATTCTGGATTCAGAACGGCCCGTTTCCAGAACGTCAACTTCATGCTTTTTATTTTTTTTTCTCATTATATATATTAATAAAAATACAATAAATAAAAAATATAATAAATTAATATTATTTATGAATAAAACTAAAAAAAATTAAATAAATAAAACCTTTCAAAATCCTTCTTTGATTTGAACTTATCCAGTTTAAAATCTTGACCAAAATGTCGCAATGTGATTCAAAAATTAAAAATAAAAATTCATAACATATCATAAATTCAAAGACAGAAACATGGTTCAGAAACTGAAAATAAAAATTCAGAACATAACATATACTAAAAAAGTTCAGAGAAATTATTGAGAATGCACATGAAATAACATATACTGAAAAAGTTCAAAAATTCATCCTTGACTGTATAGTGTCAATTTGGTAGTAAGTGGTTCACTACAGTTTGACTAACAATGAAATAAAACCTGTTACCATTGTCCTTAGTGATACACTGCATCGTCCTTAATGATACACTGTATAGCCTAAATGTTTAGCAATCGAAGTTATCAATCCCTATTGACAATATTACCAAATCTAGTGTTTGAAATGCTTTGTACCTTGAGTTTTTTTCCGTGCACGATGAACCGTGAAAATTCTGGAACCAGAACGACCCGTTCTGAAACCAGAACGGCGCGTTCTGGTTTCACTCTTGATGTGTAAAATTTGTACCTGGAACGGGCCGTTTCAGGTACAAATTTTACACACCAAGAGTGAAACCAGAACAGGCCGTTCTGGTTCTAGGTGTATTTAAGAAATTTGGGATCCATCTACGTGGCATCTACGTGACATCCACGTGCCCACCAGTTAACTCCGTTTAAATCATTTGGACGGAAGTCCCAAATTGCAATAATTTAAATTATTGGGACTAAATTGAAACAAAAAATTAAAGTGGAACTAAATTGAAACAAAAAAAATATTATAAGGGACCAAATAAAGGTTTTTAACTTTTTTATTTTTTTATTTTTATATATCATTCTATATAACATTTGTTAGAGTGATTTAAACAGAATTATATTATAGTTGGAGGATAATGGTAAACTTAAAAAGGAAATACCAACATGTATCGTTAAGAGTAGTAAGGGCTCCAATTAATATGTCATCTAAGTCTCGATTTAAAAATTTGAGTGTGGAAAGAGATTTTTTTAAAAATTTTTTTTACTGAGAGATCTAACTTGAAAAATCAATGTTATAGTTATTTTTTTTAATGAAACTACATGAATTTATAAAAAAACAAACTTATTTAAACAATATAAAAAAATTTTATAAGTAGCAGAATTCTCCCTTTAAGCAAGTAAATATTTACTACTCAAATTTAAAAATATAATTTTGTAGCAGAATTTTTAGAAGAATTTTTTTTTTTACAAATTTAATAATTCTCAAACTCGTAAAGCTATATCAACATGCGAAAAGTTTAGATAACATAAAATTTATCACCATTATATTTTATCTACACTATATAAAACTCATTTTTGTCCTTATTGAAATCATTACATAAAAATAAGACTTTTTAAAATAGCAACATTATAATAGTTTATATAAAAATAATAATAAAAAAATTAGTAACATCTTAATCATAATAAAACATGATAATAAATTAATTAACATTATAATAAAGTTAAATATTAAATTATTTTGAATAGGTACACAAACAATCACTACAACACAAATGATATTTAGTAACATTTGAAAAATGTTACTTAATTATATATAAATGTTACTAATTTGTTTTAGCAACATATTATCAAATGTTGTATATAGTTCATGTTGCTAAAGACTTTTAGTAACATTTTTGTATAATTAAGTAATAACATTTTTTAAATGTTATCAAAATAGTATTTTTGTAACATTTTAATGATGTTGCCAATATTTTGTTAATCTTATAAAATAATAATTAATTTTAATTTAAATATTACTATCAATTATTATATTTCTATATATGTCTCCTAAATTTCTAGGCATAGTTTTAAAAATCGAACCGGTCATCGAACCGGTTAAGGTACTGGGTTAGTGGGTCAAAGGTTGAACCGGTGGGTCACTAGTTGAACTGCATGACTCGATTTTTATTAAAAAATATTTATATTAAATATATTTTATACTTATAAATTTTAATAAATTCATATCTTATTTTAAATTTCAATTTTTCTATCTTATTTAAAATGTTATCAAAGTAGTATTTTTATAATATTTTAATAATTTTTTGTAACATTTTAATGATGTTGCCAAGATTTTGTTAATCTTATAAAATAATAATTAATTTTAATTTAAATATTACTATCAATTATTATATTTCTATGTTTCCTAAATTTCTAGGAATTCCTTAAGTTTTTAGAAAAAGATAGTTTTAGTTAGTCACCACTAATTATATATACAATATCAAATTTTATTTATCTTAATATAACTATATTAGTATATCTACTCTTTATGAGTCATTAATCTATTCGATGTGAGACTTTAATTATGAGTTACAATCAGATATAAAAGAAATATATTTTTTTTTACTCGATGTGAGACTTTGATTTTAAAAGCAATTATAGTTCATTTTTCAAAAAAATGTTGCAAAATAACATGTAATTTTTTTTTACTCAATATGGGACTTTGATTTTGAAAATAATTGGAAAGAATATTATTGAAATACAAAATGTTACTCTATCTATAATGATATTTTTCAAAAAAATATTACAAAATAATATATTTATATAATATATAGTAACATTTTAATAAATGTAAACAAGAAAATATTGCTAAATGATTAAAATCTAGTAGTGAATTATTGCTCAATCAACGATGAAGTCGAAGTTCATAATTTTGGAGATAACTGATAGTGAGTGATTGGAAAACTTCTTGAAAAAGATTCCTTTGGGAATGAAACCAATCCAATCATTATCGACAGGGACGGATCCAGGTTGAGAGTAGTGGGGGCACTTGCCCCCATTACTATTTCACACATACATATTTTTTATTTTAAAAAATAATATTTTAAAAAATAAAAAATATATTTTAATAAAATAAATATATATATTTAAATTATTATATGAATAAAATATAGATTTGTAGAAGAGATTTATTTATTTGATGTCTGTCAAATTTTTGAAGGAAATTAATTCTCTTATGTGATAAAAAATACTCTTTAATAACAAATCAATTTTCTTAAAAGATTTAATTATAATATATATATATATATATATATATATATATTAATACTCACATATATAATGTAATATATTAAAAAAATTAATTTTTGATAAAATAAAATTTACAGTATGATATTTACCTTTTGTGTTTTCTATTTATTGCATATATTGATTAAAAAAATTAAAATAAAAAAATTGAAAGATTTATGTTCTATTTAGAATTGTTATTATAAAATATAAAATAAATTATCATCTAAAAATATGTATTAGATATTAAAAACATGTTTATATCATAAATAAATTAAACTTGATTTTTATAAAATTTAACATATTTATTTTATATTTTTAATAGTGAATTATTATAAAGTAGGTCTTTAGGGTTATAATTCTAACCAAAAATTTAAAAAAATGTCTATGATAGATAAATAAGTCATATTTAGGATATATACTTTTAAAAAAATTAGGTTCAAACCTATTAAGTTATAATAAAATTTAGTCTAACCTAATTTATTTTCATATTTACTTGTAATCGTAAATATAAAAAATTGTAAAAACTAATTATGATAATATATTTATGCTTTTAAAAATTATATATGTAAAATTTTTAATACTACAAATATATAAATAAGTATTGCCCCACTATCTAAAATTTCTGGATCCATCACTGATTATCGATATATTGAAATTACCAATCGAAATAGCTATACATAAAAGCAAAACTTACAAAGGAAAATTAAACACATATAAGTGTAATATAATATTGTAAAAGAACTGTTAAAGGACAGAAAAAATTTCATTGATTATGTGAAGTTAGAATAAATTTTAGTAGATCTTTTCATAAAATCTCTAAAGAGGAAAATGATATGTGAAGCATAGGAGGAATGAGACTTGAGTCATTTTAAAATAACCAAGTGATAACAACTCAACTCTAAAGAAAATTCACGAGTAAGAATAAGTGACTTTTAAATTCACTAAATTAATTTAAATCAATTATAATATTTACCCCTTCTTATGATGTGAAAGAGCGATAGATATTGCATTGATGTGAAATTAAATTTTATAATAAAGTTTTACATATGTTGTTGTGGGAATTTTTACGACTTATAAACTTTTTTTAATGATATTTACATGTGATTTGCATCTTACATATGTTGAAACAAGATTTTTCCATCTTATTTATGAAAATTATGTCTTAATCTTAATTTTTTATGGATCTTACCTGAAAATAACATTTTTTTGTGACTGTTGATTTTGACATGGTCATCATTCCAGAAAATCCTGAGATTTATTTATTTTTACATATTTAATTGACGCTTTAATCCAGAATTTTTTTTGTCGTTTTAATTCATACTTTATTACATATTTAACTAACATTTTAATTAATATTTTATTTCAGAATATTTTCTATTCAAATTTTTATCACCGTTTTAAAAAACAAATGTGGCTATTAACAAAAAAAAAAAAAAAACCCTAAAAATATGATGCTGAATTTTCATGTGAACTTGATAATCTAATACTAATTAAATCTGGGTTTAAATTAGTTTATTTTAGGAAAATGAAAACTCTTAAAGAAAGAGACACGATTATTTCTGAAATATCAAAATCTAAAACTAACATCACTAATCTAAAATCCATGAACCTGTATGAAAAAAGTTAAAACAAGAAATCAATCATTGGGAAGAAAAATTCTTCTACCCCTCAAAATGTTGAGAAGAATCAAGCAAAGTTATACCTATTTCCCAAGAGCTTATGCAGTCTGATTATGAGTTCCTTTTCTTCCACAGAAATGTTTCCTCTATGCATGGTTGGCTTGAGATAGTTCAACCATCGGTGTTTGCAACTCTTACCACATCGCTCCAAACCTTTACACAAAGCAAACAAAATAAATTGAAAAAATAGAAAAAAAACAGCTAAAAAAAACAAATCAAACAATAAAATGATAATTAGTTTTTGCTGTTTGACTTAATGCATTAATTGTGTACCAGCTCTTATGGAAATGTCTCTCCAATTTCCTTCTCCATGAACTTGAATGTAGTTTACAAGGATTTCGTCTTCCTCAGAGGACCAAGCCCTTTCTTTCTGGCAATAGGCTTTTCTATCCATGTGGGAACTGATCATGCACCGTGTTTATTATCTTCTCTGTTGCTGAATTTATAATCATATATAAAAAAAGGAAAGATTCCAAAAACCGAGGACAATCTCTGTCGGTTAGTTTAGTCCATATCTTTTTTTTATAAAGTACGAGAGAGGTGTCTTATGCTGATTAGTCCACATCAATTACCTGGAGGTTAAACACAACTTGAACATAGTTATCACTTTATAAAGAGAGAAACTTAAATGAGAGTACTCACTACAATAATTAATATCAAAGATTATCATAATCTACTTATATTAAAAGGTTACAAATTAATTTATTAGTTATCATTATTATTATTATTTTTAATTAATAATAATAATAATAATAATAATAATAATTATTATTATTATTATTATTATTACTTTTGAAACAATAATAATAATTATGATGTGACAATAGTGTAATAAAGTTGACTTTACATATGACTATCCTTATCAAGAATGTACCAAAATAATATACTATTAACAGAGAGAGATCTTATCTCCATTTGTAAGAAGAAAAAATGACAAATGTTAATACTTAGAGACTATATCTGACCATTTAAATTAGGAGAATTTTTATTTTTATAAAACTTTATGTAATTTTTTATAATAAAAAAAACACATTAAGAGGAAATGAAATATGTGAAATAAAATTAATTATATAATAAAAATAATGATAAAAACGTGTTGACAAATATGTGTTAATTGAATCTAAAGAAAGTATATTCTATAATTTAATTTAAAATAAAAATAAAAATATATGAAATAATATGACTCAAATAATAATAATAATAATAATAATAATAAAATATGGAGCGTTAAAAAAATTCTCTAACGCGATACTTCTTTTATTAATTAAAAATTAATTAAAAATCATAAAATTGAATGAGAGTTACATTAAATATAAAAATAGTAAAAGAATATTCAAAAAGTGAGTTACAACATTTGTTTTATAAAATTATTATAAACATGTAATTACAAATAAAAAAATATAACTTATTTTATAATATAAGTCCAACGGTCATAAGCTAAAGTAGTTGGACTTATGGGGACAATTATATGACTTTTCTGAAATCTCTCATCGAATGACTTAAAAAGAAAACAAGTGCTCCGCAAAAAGCAACAATACAATGATTATATATTTGGATATAAGTTTAAAATCATATTTAATAAAGATTTATATATATTTTTAGCCTCTCAAATTTAAAGATAATTTTATTTTTATTATTTAAATTTAAAATTATTATTTTTAGTTCTTATAATTTTATAATTTATTTTTAATTTTTACAGTTAACTCAACTAAGATGAATGTTTCATGATGACAAGAATATTTGAGGTCCATATTTAGCGTCTGAAGTCTTGTCCTTAAGGCCACTAAGTGGGCCAAACAATAGTCCATTATTATTATTAGTAGGTATAGGGTACACAAATAGTAAAAGCAATTCGTTTTCAGCGTCCTTTCGTGTAACAAACGGCACTATAAAACAAGGCCATTGCTGCTAAGGTGGTCCACGTTAACAAGTGAAAAAGAAAATCAATTAACATGTTTTTTAAAAGGTTAATTATAGGGGTGTGCGAGAAATCTAAATTGATCTGCCGATCCGTATTAAAAAATTCGATCTATTTTGAAAAAGAATTTGAACTGAACCACTTTACAAAACCAGTTCAGTTATCCGATACATTTTTACAAAGTGGGTCAGTTCAGTTCGGTTTAGTTTTTTATAAAAACCGATCTATATATGAATAAAAAGTAGATAATTGTACCGTATCGAACCGATCCAATTTCAAAAAAATCGATCCATATTTTTAAAAAATCAAACCAATCCACTTTATAAAAAATTAATCAGCTTACCGATCTACTTTTATAAAACAGTTCGATTCGATTGGATTCGAATTTTTCAAAAAACCGATCTATAAACAACCCTAGTTAATTCTTTTAATATCTAAATCACTAAATTACAAAAAATGCACTTAGTTATAAATTTATTTTAAAACAACGTGTAATATAATTGAACTTCTTACTATGTGAAATAGTAATAGTATACAACAGCATCATGTAATAATGTTATTTCCTTTAGTATTTAAAATTAGTGAATTACAAAAATGTCCTTTTTAGTTACTGTAGATTTCTTTTAAAGCATCTCGTGATGCAATTGAACCATTTCAGTTTTTACAATATGAAAATAGTAATAATATAAAATAGCATCATGTAATAATGTTAAAAAAAATATTACGCTATTTTTTTAATATTTAAATTCAGTAAATTATAAAAATGTCTTTTTTAGTTATAAATTTATTGCAACTGAACTTTTTTTACGATGGAAATAATAATAATATATAATTGCACCATGTTATAATGTTGAAAAAATATATAATACAGTTTAATAATATAATCTATCTCATTTATATTGTTCTAAATTTTAATTAATTGTATCACTTATTTTATTAAACTATTTTAAATTTTAAATATAATTTATTGGATGCCTATTTTAGTTTACCATTCACTCATGAAAATAATAAAAGGAAAGAAGAAACTTAACATCTACTTGGTTCTACCATTTTCTATTTTCATTTTTAAAGAAAATAGAAAATAAGTACAAAAATGTGTTTATTTTTAATTTAAAAATATTTTCTTTAAAATTGTTTTCAAAAAGAAGTCAAAAATTAAAAATGAAAAAAATATTATTTTCATTATTTTCTACACTTTCGAAAACATGGTAATATATCATGATAATTATTAAAATATTTTATAAACTTACTTCTATTGTAGTCTTATATACATAATTCAATATACTTAATTTTTTTATACATTTAATTCAATCAATTTGTCTTATATTTTTTATATGTGTGAAAAAGTTTTGTTTGATACATACATATGTATTATGCATATTAATATTATAAGATTTATTATATATAGTTATTCTATTAAATTTTAATTACACATGTTGTTCATATTATTTAATTATTTTAATTAAATATTATTTATTAAATATCATTAACATTTAGTGTGATTAGGTTTTGGTTGCTTTATTTTAAGATAAATAGTATCAATTATACACACATATATGTAACATCCCATTTTTTTATAAAATATAATATAAATATTTTATTAATAATTTTGATATTTTTATTTTATTAATTGAGATTGCTAGATAATTATTTAATATATTTTAGAATATAATATATAATGTTTTTTAATTAAAGGTTATTACAATATTTATTAAAAGGGAAGGAAATTTGAAACTCTGGTTAAGTTTTAACCGAAGGAAGGTTAAGGAAAGGTTAAGGTTTTTAAAAACAATAATTTTCTGATCATACCCTCTTACGACTCTATTTTCAAATACGCGCTTCAAGGCTCAGAGAACAAAAGCAAGAAGGAAATAACCTCAGAGTCATGCACCTGTTGCTCTAAACGTGCGTAATTAGTGATATGAATTGCTTGAATGAATGATTGATTTCATGTTTTGAGATTGTAATTATATGATTTGATATCTTTATGAGTTTCTTGGGAAACCTTAAGGGAATGCATAGGTACTTGTACGAGGAGATTGATTGGGTATGTAATTATATGGGTAAAATGTGTCTTTTAGAAGTGTAACGTAACCTAAGGAGAGTTATTTTGGATTGAGAGAAAAGAGTTTGGGTGTGAGTTGTGTTAGATTCTTAAAATTCTAGTATGAACATACCTTGATATCTGTCTTTTTTTTTTTCTACATATGATTAATCAAATTGAGTTTTGATTGTTGGGTTAGAAAGTAGACATTTAGAGCTCTAGTTTAGACTTAAGAATCACATAAATATATTAAGGAATGCTTGAGTTATGCGAGTTAAAAGACAAACCTTATATTCTATGCTCAAAATGTAACGTGCATAAGTTATAAGTTTTTTTAGTAGACTTAAATGGCAGAATTAGATTTTGTGATCTTCATGAAAGTTGTAGTCCTGGATGTTAGCTTTCAAATGTTGTTAGAATAACTTAAAAATAAAAGTCTATAACTCAAGGTATGATCAAATTAGTGAACAAAGGTCAGATTGCCATATTTAGGTTGAAATGCTGCGATTTTGTATTTATTTAAAATAGTAAATGACACATTTAGCTCTTGAGGTCAATATAGAAGTTGGAGATAATTGTCTTAACTTTCTAATAAAATTAAGATCAACTTAATAGAACATATATAGCTTTAGCTAAGGTATTTGGACCACATGATATCGTATAGGATTAAGTTAGGGGAAATATACTATGTGGGTATTCTATTGATATGCTTGTGAGTTATGTATGAGTTGTAGTGATGTTATCCCTTATGTCATTGGTTCCTAATATTTAATTGATATAGTTGAAATGTTAATTACTATAATGACCCAACCCGACCCACTTTTAATTTCTCCAAAATTTTCTTGGCCCCGCCCAGCCCACCACGGGTTGGTGAGTTATACGGGCCAGCCCACCAACCCACATAAAAATTAAAAAAAATATCAATAAAATTCAAATTTTCAAATTAACTATAAATTAACATAATAATTATAAAATTAGTATCATTAATAGTCATAAGTCATAACTCATCATACAAAATTAAATACAAACTATGATAAAAGTCCAAAATAAAAAATTTTAATGTCCCATTATACACAATTAACTATAAACCATAATCAAATTTCAATTTTAAAAAAAAAAGGTAGGCTGCCCAGCCCACCACGAGTTGAACCCGGGTGGGCCGAATGTAAGTGGGCCGGGTTGAAATATACTCACTTACTATAAAAAAAATTTATTTTGGCCCGACCCGTTTTCAAGGTGGGTCGAGTTGGCCCATGGGCCACGACCCATTTTGACGGCTCTAGTTAACGATAATGCACAAGTGTGATATGTGATTATTTTTTACTAGCGCCACATGCATGATAACATGTAGTCCGTGTCCATTGCATATGCATGTTAATTTTATCTGTTGTTGCTTACTATGCTATGAATGAATTAAACATGATGATGTGTAACTGTGTATATTATATTATGTTATATGTGTTGTTTGTGTTT